ATGGAACCATCAAAGTGCCAGAGACAGGAGCCATTTTCAGCCTGGGAGCACTTTATTACCGGTGGGCATCTCACCCTCTCATTCATTAAAACAGAGCCTACAACTACACCACACCACATGTATTAATGTGCATGAGAGAAACAGTGTTTTATCTGTCCTCAGTTTCCACAACGCCACAGGAGACATCCGTCCCAATGGAGATCGCTATATCTACCACATCCAGCTGTCAGGCATCACCGACGGCTCCATTTCCAATTGCCTGGGTGCCAATATCTGTCAAGTCAAGATTAATGACAGTTACCGCAGAAAAATTGGCTCCTCCAGCAAAGCCAAGTATTATATCAAAGGTGAGATAAAATCAGTACGTGACCATATTAGGAGTTACGGTGTGTGATGTGCGAGTGCAGTGTGCTCAAATATTTCAGTATGCATATTGGGACAGATGAAAGGCAAAGTTGGGTTTATTTTCCCCTTTATTATTCATTTATTTAGAAATTCTGTTTATAACAGCACGCAAATGTCAAAGATATTTGAAAATATTTTTATTTAAAAGTTTTTAAAATATTTTGCTTGTTTGTTTTTTACAAAGATTTCCTTCGTTTATTTGTGTACTTATTTACATTAATTAATTAATTAATGTATTTTTATTTTTTAAATATATTTATAACAACACACGCTTTTTTTTTTTATTAAATCATTTATAAATTCTTTTTGTAACAACATAAAAATGCCAAAAATGTTTTTAAATGTTCAGTTTAAATTTTTTGTTGTTTGAAAAGAGGATTTTTTTGTTTGTTCATTATTTAATTTAAACATTCTCTTTGTAACGACACAACAATGTTTTGTTTAAAATATATTTTGTATTATTACTTAGTTTCTGTATACTTACTCAATATTTGCCAAAACATTTAGGTTTTAATTTTTTTAGAATTGGCTGCTGTGTTGTCCAGTTTCATTACTTTTTATTCAAAATTTCGAATTCAATTTATTTTGTTCTATGAACTCCTAATATATTATTAGTTTATTAGAAAAAAAATTTATGAACACAATTTATTGTGTATTTCTGTGATGTAACCATTTTATGAAATGACCTGGTGTTGTATTTTGTCAGGTGGAAATCTTGACGTCTTGGTACCATCTGAATCTGTATGTGGACGAGACAAAACCAAAACTGTGTCCTCGACCATCCTGTTCCACTGCAGCCCTACAGCAGGAGAGGGTATCCCAGAGTTCATGCTGGAGACAGATGGCTGCCAGTATCTATTTGTTTGGCACACCGCCACCGTTTGTGAATTTTTGTGAGTATTACTAAAGCCTAATCATACTTTTAAGCTTTAATTCAATAATTCTACAACATAGATTTGTTAGCCAAGTCTGAGTATAATACATAGGTTTTCTCATAGTTCATCCACCTCCATGGACCCGCACAGCACTGATGGAGGGGAGGAGCATGCTGGATTATCTGGGCGGAGTCAGGCCTTAGGGGCGGTGCTTAGCCTGCTGTTGGTTGTGCTCACAATCTGTTTGCTTGTTCTTCTGCTGCACAAACGAGACAGGAGGTAAAATGCAAAGTACATTTGTATTATCATTTTATTTTAAACTAATACAAATGTTTGTGGCCAGTAATGGCCAAAATTAATACTTTAGATGCGTTCAGTTGTTCAAAGGTGACCGTAAAGACATTTAAAATATTAGAAAGGATTTATTTTTCAAATAAATGCTGTTCTTTTGAAAGAATCCCCCAAAAAATGTATTATGGTTTTAAAAAAATTAATTAATTAAGCATGATAACTATATTCAATATTGATAATAATAATAATACAAATTCTTGATCACCAAATCAGCATGTTAGAATGATTACTGCAGTACCTTGTAACACTGATGCTGAAAATATAGTTTTGCATCACAGGAAAAAATTACATTTTAAATTAAATTAAAATAGGGAAAGAAAAAAAAACTGCAGAGTGCGAAGGTCCAATAATTGTAAAATTTAATCGTAAAACTTTTGCGGTTCTCTGAGAAACTTTGCTCGATAAACTATTGCGTTTGATCGTTAAACTTTTACGTTACTCTGAGAAACTGCTTGATAAACTATTGCGTTTGATCGTAAAACTTTTACTGTACTCTGAGAAACTTTGCTCGATAAACTATTGCGTTTTATCGTTAAACTTTTACGTTACTCTGAGAAACTGCTCGATAAACTATTGCGTTTGATCGTAAAACTTTTACGTTACTCTGAGAAACTGCTCGATAAACTATTGCGTTTGATCGTAAAACTTTTACGTTACTCTGAGAAACTTTGCTCGATAAACTATTGCGTTTGATCGTAAAACTTTTACAGTTTGTATTCATTCACAAAACCTTTGCCTTTTAAGTAAAACTGAACTCTTTATGTTTGCTCTCGAAACTGTTGCGATTGATCAGAAATGTTCTGTTCTCCTGAGAAACTTTGTTCGCTCACAAAACGTTTTTGTTTCCCATATAAACTTTGTGTTTGTTTGCAAAACTATAGCATTTGCTCACAAAACATTTGTGTTCTTCTGAGAAACTTCGCTCGTGAAACTTCTGCGTTAAAAACTTTGCAATTCGCTCCCAAAACGTTTGTGATAGAAATAAAATGAGTTGGGAGAAATTTTATATTTCAGTTCTTTTGCGATCAAGCACAAAGTTTCTCGGGGGAACATTATAATTTTGCACAAATTTTTTTTGGGGGGAGAAAAAAGGCGTTGAGCACTGAAATTTTTCCTCCAATCACCATTTCCCCTTGGCTCCATATATGTAATAACAGTAAACTTGTTTTTTTTGCAGAATTTATTAATCTGTTAATTTGATAAATATTCTATTATTTATGTTTATGCACAATACATTAATTTTTATTTATACATCTTGAAATGTTGCAAATGTATTAGAATATGTGGAAATAACATTAACCTAGATTAATAAATTCTGTAAAAGTATTGTTCATGGTTAGTTGGTGACATCTAAAGCACTAATTAACATTAACAAATTGAACTTTACTGTAAAGTGTAACCTATTGTTTAATAATTTTTCTTTATTTTAATTTATATTTTGCAAAGAAGACACTGGTGCCTATGAAAGAAGCCACAAGTACAGCAGTTGACAGAACGGTACAACGGCCTGAACACCTGCAAAAATGATGCGTTTTATTTGCTGAATCGGTTTCAGCTCCCGTGTTTTTGCTGACTTTACGAAAGATGCAATTATTTACATAAGTTGTGTTGCAAGTTTGCTTTCAGCTCTCCAGAAATGATTTACCAAAACGTTCTTCTCACATGGCAGTGGAGGTACAACAGGACACTGGTCCTGTTTGGCAGCATGTGTATAGTGTTTTTCACTCCGACTCTGCTGTTTGCTCTAATAGTTTGTCTCAGAGGCTTGTATTACCATTCATCAGTGTATTCCTCACATATATGGTTGCCAAATAAAATCACACCAGTTCTGTATATCTGTCATAACTCACTGCTACTGAGACAGTACTTCAAGATGCGTTAAAGCATGCCTGGGTGTCTCTTTTAGTACTCTGCACTTTGGGGGACAGCATTTATTTATTTTTTTCCTGTCCTTTAGGGGCGGTGCACTCGATTAGCTGTTGGTCATCACGTGCTCCCCTCTCCTTACTGAAAAAATGTCTGCAGCTGCTATATGGGATATTGTACGGTACAATTCTCTGAAATACTTCAAGAGAAGGTCCTGAAATAGTTATTTATTTTTTTCCTGATAGAGGCTTTAGCTCTTTTCAGACTGTATTTGTCATGTTTTACAGCATCTTGTTTTGGGATTTTAATTAGTTTATGCTGAGATATTATGGCATTATTTCAATAAAACTATCAGCTCCTCTGTATGCATCCTTATATGGAGTTATTGTGGTTCATCTCGCTGCTTTAACTAGACTGAGGGCACACTTAAACAACTGAATCAAATCCGTGTTTGTTTTTATTCATATTTTTGTAAATATTTTTATGATTTAAAATAAATCCCTATGTGGTTAGTAACATTTAAAAAAACTAATAAAAATACCATTTACATTTAATTTATTTTTATTTCAGTTTTAGCTTGTAATTTGTTTCTAGTTAGAAACTAAATGAACGTTTGAAATATTGCCTTGAAATCTAAATTTGTTTTCATCTATATTTCAGCTTTTAATTTTTTATAGTAGATTTTTCTATATAGTTAGTAATTTTAAGAAATTAAATATTAGAATCCTTGGCATCTGAAATATGTTTTTTTTTTTTTTTTTCATCTAATATTTATGTTTTACTTTATTATATTTTCTAGTAATTAAAGTTCTAGTAATTTTGTGTTTATGCCATGTTTAGTAGGTTTTTTGTTTCTTTTTCTTTCAGCCTTAGTTCTTAGTTCTAGTTAATTTTATTTTTATTTATTTCCAGTTAGTCATTTAGTGCTTCAATTTAGTATTGTGTTAATATTAGTTGAATAGTTATATTTCAGCTTTATTTAAAAAAAACATTTTTTTATATTTTCTTTAACAATTTGTTTAATATTTAGTAATTTTGTATGTGTTTTTGCCGTAGTTTTTGTTTTTCCAATTAGCAATTTTAGTGCTTCAAATTATTTCATTTAGTTGTCAAGGAAACATTTTTAATGTTCACAAGTTTTTTTTTTTTATCTAATATTTTATTTCAGCTTTATTTCAATTTTTTATTTTCGGTTTTCACTTTAATTTGTTTACATTTATTATCTGCTTTCATCATTAACTAAACCCCGAAACTCTGGGTAGACTTGTTCTGTTTAGACTTTAAGTCATGGTTTAGTCTGTAGTCTACCTACTAAACCACTTACTGAACCGTTTTCATACAACACTTGATGAACAAAAATTATACAGTGACAAATTACGTAACGCTTCAGATGTCACTGGGGTTAAAATGTAACTTGTTGTCCCCCGTGTCCCATCCCAGCATGTAATTGGTCAATCACAGCACGGATATATCAAATTTCAACCTCCTCTGGACTTTTGCTCAGTCAGCTGTGGGTAAATACTGTGCCTCAACTTAAAAGACCTATTTTTACAGCTGCGGACGCCTTCAAGTCCTCCACTGTTAGCCGTACAGTGACCATGACTACTTTTGAAGACATCTTAGAGGAGGCCGGCAAGTTCGGTCGTTGCCAGATGCGAATTGTTTCCATATTCTGCTTGGTCTCTATACCGTTTTCTTTTGTATATGTGGGGATTGTATTCCAGGGCTTCACCCCTGAACATTGGTGCCGTGACCCGGGTGTCATTGAGATCCGGGAAAGATGCGGCTGGAGTCTTCAAGACGCACGCAGGGCGACTGTACCCTTGATGAACAGCTCTACAGGGGTGACGTACAGTCAGTGTCAGAAGCTGGACATGGACTGGAACGCCACCGGTCTAACTTGTGACAATCCAGAAAGTGAGCTCACCCAGGCCCAGCTTTCTACTCTACCGATGACAGGCTGTACAGACGGCTGGGAGTACGACTATGAAGGAAGACAGTCGTTCGTCACTGAGGTGAGTGGTGGGATCACAAAACACGCTCTTTCTTTTGGTAATAATTGTGTGAAGTGCAATGAGAGAACAAAATGTCTGACGTGAGACCTGTGTGTTGCAGTTTGATCTAGTGTGCGCAGACGCCTGGTATGTTGACATGTTCCAGGCCGCGCTCAGTGTTGGTTTCTTTGTCGGCAGCATTGCAATTGGATACCTGGCAGACAAGTATGACTTGTTTGACATTTCAATGTTACATGGATGCATTTTGAGTTTCTAATTTACTTTTCAAATTTAAATCCTTACAAGATTGATAAGCAACAGCTGTTTTTAGCTTGTTTATACTTAAAAATATGCCAACAATTGTGTGTAGTTCGACAAAATGCCCTCATATTGAAGATATTCTCTGAAAACAAGTAACATATTATGCAGTGTTACTTTTCAAGAAAATGTATGTTTTTTCAGGGATTTTTAGATTTCAGATTATTATTTATTGTCATTGTACTTGCATCCAACGAAATTATAGATTTGCCAACGTATCTAGCTAAAAAATTATTTAAACAATTAATAAGGAATAATTAAATAAATACCATATTACACATAAGGGGAAAAGAATAATAATAATTTTACACCGTGCTGAGTGAAATAAAGTGCTCAATGCTCAATATAATTACACATCTTTTTAGTATTTTTACAGGAAAATAAGACAATAATTGTCAACTTCGTGAACCCCTGTTATTATGCATATTATCTAAATTCATTGTTTCTGATTCAGTGCAATCAAGATGAAAAAAATCTTTAAAAAACTGTATTGTATTAAATATTTAATACTTTTATTCAGCAAGGATGCATTCAATTTAATTAAACGTGACATTAAAACATTTTGTTACAAAAGATTTCTATAAATAAATTGTTCTTTTTAACTTTATATTCATAAGAGAATTCTGAAATGGTTTTCTACAGAAATATTGAGCAGCACAACAACGGCAAATCAACATATTAAGAATGATTTCTAAAGGATCATCAATGATGCTGAAAATTTAACTCTGCCTTACAGAAATAAAGTACATTTTAAAATATATTCAAATAGAAAACAGTTATTATAAATTGTAATTCCACAATATTGCTGTTTTTTCTGTATTTTTGATCAATTAAATGCAGCCTTGGTGAGCAGAATAGATTTCTTTCAAAAACATTGAAAAATCTTACTGAAAGCCAAGTAATTGTTTTTATTGGCATGCACAAAACGAATGTTTCTGTAATGATCGAATTGATTCACATTTGTTCATTTTTCTTTCAGATACGGCAGAATGAAGAGTTTCCTATTGACCAACTTCTTCATCGGAGTAACAGGGATTCTGGTGGCCACGTCGCCCAATTACATCGCCCTGCTGCTGTTCAGAGTTCTCTTTGGCTTTGGAGTGAAGGGCGGCTGGATGGTTGGATATGTGCTAAGTAACGAAACATTTTCAAATTCTTTAATTATGCTTAAGTGTAATATAAGTATATTCAGTTCAGATGCAGTGGTGGATGCATTAAAAGCTTACTGGGATCCTTGATATTTCAGATATCCTCATGTTCCATTATGTCTTGTTTTCTGGCTGCAGTCACGGAGCTGGTTGGAGTTGAATACAGGAGAATGGTGGGAGTGACCTATCAGTTGTTCTTCAGTCTGGGCATTCTCATTCTTCCTCTCTTAGCTTACTTCATACCAAACTGGCGCTGGCTACAGGTGGTCTTCACCATTCCTTACATCTGCTTCCTGACGTACTATTGGTAAGAGCCTGTTTATGGTTGTGGATTGTGATTTCCAGATATATTTGCAAATTGTACGTGTGCAAATTTGTGTTGGAACAGTATGTCCTTTTATAATCCCCACCTTCATAAAAAAAAATTCTATCCATTTCTTATGAACTTTAAATGAATATTCCTGATTAAATATAAATTAGGATACATTTTTGAAAGAAATTAATACTTCTATTCAGCAGGGATGCACTAAACTGATCAAAAGTGACGGTAAAGATATTTATAATGTTACAAAATATTTCTATTTCAGATTAATGCTGTTTTTAAAATGTTCTGTTCATCTAAGAATCCTGAAAAAAAAAATCTTATCAGGGTTTCCACAAAATATTATTATATATTTCCACATAATATAAAATATTAAGTGATGTTTTCAACAACGATCATAATGAGAAAGGTTTCTTGAGGACCAAATCATCATATTAGAATGATTTCTGAATGCTTTGCCCTCCCACAAATAAATTACATTTTAAAATATATTAAAATACATTTTTTTTTATAATATTTCACAATATTACAGATTTTACTGTATTTTTTGTCAAATAAATGCAGCTTTGGTTAAGAATAAGAGATTTCTTTCAAAAACATTTTTTATATCTGATGCACATTTGATATGTGCATTTACATTCTACAAAATTCACTTTTAGTTCATTTGTTAACATAATTCAAATGCATATTTCCAGATGATGCGATCTTTAACAAATTAAAATTATAATATATATATTTTTTAATTTCAGTATGAACACAAAGAAAATGCCTAAATGGCTCATTTAAGATATTTACGTGTAATTTAATGTTTTTTTTGGTAAACTTTTGAGTTGCACTGTGTTGGATAAATGTAGCCATGTTGCATTATTTAAATACACTCTGAATTTCAGGTTTATCCCCGAATCACCAAGATGGCTCCTCAGCCAAAACAAGAGAAACGAAGCAATGGAGATCACTAAAGCAATAGCCAAAGAGAACAAAAAGACACTGTCCAAGATTATTGAGGTACAGTGTTTACACAGTGATGATGAGCATAAAATATGACCAAATGTCTCTTAAACGTCCAATTTCATCCATCAGACACTGACTGACGAAAACACAGACTCCATCTCGACTGCATCTTTCATGGACCTGTTCAAGACTTCCAAACTGAGAAAATTCACATTCATCCTGAGCTTCAACTGGTACGTCAGATCCAAAACACTGTGTTAAAGGGATAGTTCACCCAAAAATGAAAATTCTGTCATTAATTGCTCACCCTCAAGTCGTTTCAAACCCGTAAGACCTTCGTTCATCTTCGGAACACAAATTAAGATATTTTTGATGGAATCTGATGTTACCAAGTTCAGAAACGTAGCGAGGAGATCTGTAAAATAATCCATGTGACATCAGCGGTTCATCCGCAATTATACGAAGCAGGGTCTGACCCTGTCTATGCAGGGTCAGACAGCTCTCAGATTCCATCAAAGATATCTTAATTTGTGTTCCGAAGATGAACGAAGGTCTTACGGGTTTGAAACGACCTGAGGGTGAGCAATTAATGACAGAATTTTCATTTTTGGGTGAACTAACCCTGTTAAGTGCAGGGAACATCCATCTGTAGTCTGTCCATTGTGTCGCCAGGTTCACCAGTGCTGTGGTTTACCAGGGTCTCATTATGAGGCTGGGAATCCTCGGAGGAAACGTGTATGTGGACTTCCTCATATCTGGAATCGTGGAATTGCCAGCAGCTTTCCTCATTCTCCTCACTATTGAGCGGATCGGACGCCGGCTTCCTTTTGCAGCTGCGAATATCGTGGCAGGAGCGGCCTGCTTAATCACAGCGTTCATCCCCGACAGTGTGTTACCATTTGGAGTTAGAATTCAGTTTGACTGAAAACAGGTGGTTATATGTATATTTACTTTACATTTTGTATCTTCCACAGGTATGTTCTGGTTAAAAAGTGCTGTTGCTTGTGTTGGACGGCTGGGCATCACTATGGCTTTTGAATTGGTAGTGTTTGTGAATACTGAACTATATCCCACCGTTATCAGGTAAGTTATAATGCAAAGAGACATCGTACTATATGTAAATGATTGTTTTTGGACATGTTGGTCAGTAATGCTACTATTTGATGTTTTTTGGCTCAGAAATCTGGGTGTTTCGGTCTGTTCCACACTGTGTGACATTGGCGGGATTGTAGCACCGTTTCTGCTCTACAGGCTTGCTGTCATCTGGCTAGAACTACCTCTCATTATTTTCGGTATAAATTTTGCATACAGTCGAACTGAGTTGTTTGTGTTGTTAGGTAGACCACCAAACATAAATAATCAACCTCAATATGCAGGAAAATGACATTCTGACAGCTGACTGGCACCAAATGAACACACAGTCTTAAGCACACATAAATAAATATATTTCAAAATTATTACAAAAATAAATATATTATATTTAATATATTAATATAAATGTATATATTTTTATATATCTGAGATTTTTATGCTGAAAATAATTTTGCACATGTAAAATACAAAATATTTTTTAAACGTGTATATATGTGTAGGTGTGTATATGTATGTGTGTGTGTGTATATATATATATATATATACCATGAAAAGGTTTTTGCAACCTGTTTGTTTTTTTTGTTTTTTTTATATTTGTCACACTCAGAAAAGATTCAGATCATTAAACAAATTTTAATATTACACAAAGATAATGCAAGTAAATACAGAATGCAGTTTTTAAATGATGATTTCATTTATTAAGGGAAAAAAGTTGTCCAAATCTACCTGGCCCTACTTGAAAAATGAATTGCCCCCTCCTGTTAAATCATGTGTGATCAACTGTGATTAACCACATTATTTTAGAAAGCTGAGTTAAATTTCACTAGCCACACCCAGGCCTGATTACTGCCAGACCTGTTGAATCAAGAAAACACTTAAATAGAGCCTGTCTGACCAAGTGAAGCATGCTTAAAGAGCAACACATCATGCCGCGATCTAAAGAAATTCAAGAACAGATGAGAATCAAAATAGTTGACGTATCAGTCTGGAAATCGTTATAAAACCATTTCTAAGGCTTTGGGACTCCAGCGAACCACGGTCGGAGCCACAAAATGGAGAAAACTTGGAACAGTGGTGAACCTTCCCAGGAGTGGCCGGCCTACCAAAATTACTCCAAGAGCACAACGACGACTCATCCAAGAGGTCATAAAAGAACCCAGAACAACATCTAAAGAACTGCAGGCCTCACTTGCCTCAATTAAGGTCAGTTGAACTCTTGGAGGAAGAGAGATTAAAGAGTTGAACTCTTTGGAAGGTGTGTGTCCCATTACATCTGGCATAAAACCAACACAGCATTTCATAAAAAGAACATCATACCAACAGTCAAACATGGTGGTGGTAGTGTGATGGTCTGGGGCTGCTTTGCAGCTTCAGGACCTGGATGACTTGCCATAACTGATGGAACCATGAATTCTGCACTCTATCAGAAAATCCTGAAGGAGAATGTCCAGCCGTCAGTTTGTGACCTCAAGCTCAAGCGCTCTTGGGTTACGCAGCAGGACAATTATCCCAAACACACCAGCAAGTCCACCTCTGAATGGCTCAAGAAAAACAAAATTAAGGTTTTGGAGTGGCCAAGTCAAAGTCTGGACTTAAACCCGATTGAGATGCTGTGGCATGACCTTGAAAATTCCATTCATGCTTGAAAACCCTCCAATGTGGCTGAATTAAAACAATTCTGCAAAGAAGAGTGGGCCAAAATTCCTCCACAGCGATATGAAAGACTCATTGCCAGTTATCGCAAACACTTGATTGCAGTTGTT